TTAGCTTCCAGTAGTTGGTTTTTGAGTTAGGATAGTGTATTATATTATAATTGCATCTTTTCAGTTTGAGTGGTGATTAGTGAAACAAGCATCTTCTGAAGTTTGGTTAATTTTGTTTTGGATGGTACGCTCAGGTACATTATAAGTGTTGGAATGACACTGTATTGTGCGCAGCTCAAACTCTGTTGGATTTCCCATGACTAATGTTCACGATTATCCTCGCATTGTTTCTTAACCTTTTCTGGTCAATAAGAAATATCCCCGTTTTAAACCATAAATATTCCATCTAATCCATTTGGCCTACAAAGATATGCAAGGTAGAACTTAAATAAAGAAAGTTGAGCTACTTTGCTATGACTAAAGTATAGAGGTTTCCGCTGTGGGTTCAAACAGGAAATAATTGCCGTTGTTGCCTATCTGTCCTTTTCATCATAATATCCCCCGATGACTTATTTGGCTGACGCAGATCTGTGAACCACTATTTAGTTTAGATGGAGGAAGTAGACCTGTTTTACAATGATCAAAGTGGGTAAGGTTTGTGTTGTCTTCAAAGTGAGAGTTTCTGCCTAGCTGTGTATCTATGTAGATAGATGTAATAAACCACTTTTAATTGTTGATTTTGTGTATGGAGATAGATAAGTAGGTATATATATTTTTGGTTGAATCCAGAGATGGAAGAACCAAGGGTCCTGCTGCATACAGAAAAGCAAGAAAATTGCTTGGTAAAACTTTATGTGGAGCTATACCTTAATTTGGTTACTTTTTTCTGATGACTTTTTGTGAGCAGGCCAAGTTTGACCGAGTACTTCTAAGGCATAATAACTATTTATCAGAAGAAAAACACTAGGTAGGATGGTGGATTAGAGAGGTGCATCTATGATGTGTGATGATGGAATGTTTATGGAGTGAAAGACTAATATAACGCTGTTTAAATTAATTACTTGTCAGGTGGTGCGGATGCTGAATATGTGATGCTGAATATGCTGAATATGTAAAGGATCTCTGACCATGAAAGAATAATATTGTAAAAAAATATTAAAAGAAACATTCAACATGCTTATCCTAATATGGAATGGCTCATCCTAGTGTCAAGTGAGATATAAGAATGCACCGATGAGAGTTTTTATCCAGAACAAAAAATAATCCACTGGTGAAGAGTAGTGAGTTGACTCAATAGAAG